GAACACTTTCGGCACCTGCTCAACTGCTCCTCCTCCGAATCCAAATTTCCAGTACAACCAGGGCAACCAAGTAATCTGAGCTCAATCTTGAAAATCTGTCAAATCTCTCATACTCCAATATCATGATGGAGAAAAAAGGGAAGTCTACATGGAAGAGGATAGCCCAATCAAAATAATGAGTTTGTCCACTGAATCCACTGATCACACTATCCTACAGTATCCGGCAAGGAAAAAAATCTCAAAGAGTGGATAACGCCAAACAGGCCAAAAATATCATTCGGTTGAAATGTAGCGCGGTATCAGCCTCGTAGATTTAGTGGGTTGCTTAACATGGCACGTCTCAACCGGTTTGGTTTTCACTCGACGGGACCTGATAGTTGTGTCACGGGAATTGCTAGAATGCCATCTGTTCCGACTCCTAACGCCGTTCCGATTCCTTGAGTTTTGCGTTGCAGAAAATCTCCGTCAGCAAACACTTCATTTTTATGGGGAAACGTGAATCTGATCACCGAACTCGCATTTTTCAACACTAATGACATATTTGGATAAAAACCTGACAGTTTTCTACGGGTGATTCACCGTATCCTGAAGCCAAGGCAATAGGCTCGGACACGTAAACGGTTCGAAACGAATTGTTCACAACTTATCCGACCGAATCCATCCAGGCTCTTAGATATTGAAAGTATTTTGAACCCATAATCCAGTCAAACGATCAAGCCAGGGACTAAGCTAAGCTTTGAATTGATTGTGAACAAATAGGTTCTCACGTACGCTTGCTAACGTGAGTCACTGAGAGTGGACGACAAAAAATCCTGAAAAGCTTTGCCCACTAATGCCTCCTATTGGTTAGGCTTTCAATCGGTTTTCGGAGTGTGTAATTGACGCAACAACTGCGTCTACGGTGCCCCAACACATGGCAAGCTTCCATCAGAGACCTTCAAGACGCCGACTTATCTACACATAGGAGATAGTGACAAAAACGAAACTAAAACGAAGGTGGTCAAGTAATGTTTGTCTCCGTCAAATCACCGTGGAAATTGTGATTAAGCCTTACTGACACCACCACCACCGCGCAATGGGATGAACAAAAACACCAACAGCAACGTCAAAAATAACAACAACAACAATAACAAAAAACAAGACAAACAATGGAATCTGTTTGAATCAACAAGTTGGAACATGGATGAACTGTAGTTTGCACAATAACCAGACAGTTATTTCCAAGTATTTGCATCAAACAATCGGGAACATAGACAAACGACAACGACTCGGACCACCTCGGAGTCGGCGCAAAAAATATGGGATTAATTGAGATCATTCCATCTTCCCTCATTTAATGGCTTTCCCACATTGATTAAAGTTTTCTGTTCGTCTACTTCACTCTATCAAATAACTAAAAATGTTCCATATTGGCGGTTTGTGTGTGAGTGTGTATGCACGCTCGATCGCTCACAATCAGATAGAAATTGAAAGAGGAAATAGTTTTTGCGCAGATGAAACTTGTATTTGCTTTGTGGGCCTCATGCAATCCCGGCACATAAATCTTAACCATTTCATTTAATTAATCATCTTTCTTTGATACTTATCCCATTCTATTTATTTTTCATTTTGGCAGCGGGTAGTCGCGCCTTCCGCATCGGTGCACATGTTACATTATCTCGTAATGTAGGCAATCACAACCACCTATAACAGTCACGTTTACTCGGACGCATTCACTGACCAGTGTGTGTTCACCTGATCGCACGTACCCGTAGATGATAGCTCAGATTAAAATGTTGCTTGCGTAAAGAGGAAGACTCGATCGCTCATTCAGTGGTTAAGAAACGTGCGTTATACCTAGTATTGGTATATATATATATTGAAATTGTGAAAAGTTCAGTAGAATTGAGAAGATTCGAACTCACGGACTGACGCCGCCAGTAAATGGGAGTCATCTTAGATGCCACCTGATGGACTTCATATGTCTCTCTAAGTTAGATGGGTGATTCAAATATGAAAGGATCTGTAATGAGGTTGGAGCATCGTAGCTCAGCTGGTAGAGCGTGCGCAGTACAAGAGCACGGACGGTATCAATGCGTGGATTCAAATTCCGCCGAGATTACCGAAATGTTCTCCCAATTTTAACATCAGACTTTAATTTGCCAAACAATAATTTGGATATTATACATCAGATCACTGCGAGCACAACAAACCAAGTAAATATTCTCACCATAGTGGAAGATCTATTTTTTAAGTAAAATCACAAATAACTTTTGAGAGAGGATAGCTTTTATAAGCTGTTCTAGATTGTACTTACTCCATCTACGCGGAATGTCAAAAGGAATTTTTTTGTGCTAGATTTGATCAGGAAATTGCAAGGTATGTTAGTGATGCTGTTCAAACACCGATCACAGTAGAAAAAGAAGGGTGCGTTGAGGACCATGTCGCACAGAGGTTCATCGCCTGTTTCCAATCCCAGGTAGACGGACGGAGAGAGGGAAGAAAGGTGAGCGACAGAGGAAATCAATATAATTTAACTGCATAAATCACAGAACTGAATTAAATTAAATGTCCGCAAATGGTCATTTAAATAGAACATTACGAGCTACTTTCTCCATAAAATCGAGCTTGATTTACCACAAAAATGACCATACAAGAAGTGGTTCTTATAGCAGTTTCATTTTTGTTGTTGAAATCTTCTAATCTAGTCAAAAATTGACATTCTGAAATGTCCAAGTTAAAATATCACTGCTGTTTTGAGGTGATTGACCAATCTACAGTTGGAATATGTAACTCGTACGGACTTATTTTATTTACAGTAGTACGATTGAGATATCCACTTAGGCCTTTTAACGAACTTTACATCTACTAGACTATCGGAAATACAGATGAACCGGTATGCTGATATTGACAACTCCCAGATGTTGATCTTGATATGTGTGTGTGTGATAGCGCGCAAGCCCATGAGTATCCGATCCCTGACAGATACCGACTAAAATTACGGAGAGAGTTTCAAAACCCATATAAATTGATTGTTTCTAGCGAGATCTTAAGCTAATTATGCATATTGATTTCTGGACTAAATCAAATACACAAGACCAGATCAAATTGGTGCTCACCTTGCAATTACTCGGTTGGAACAGGACACTGAGTGCGTATATGACCGCAGCTATCCAGTCAGAAAACTACATAGTACTAAGCCCATCAAATTATCCTGGAAGCTTTCTGTGTTCAGCGAAAAAATAACCGGATGCAAATACATCGTAGGATTTTCCGTGGTGAAATCTATTATTTATATGTATTATTCGTCTATCAAGGTTGTTGCAACCTGAAACCGCGTTACTGGGATGAACAAACTATCTGATGGGGAACATTTTTTGTAGCCAAACCAAAAGAGGGATACTCATTTTGCATCCGTGTTTGAACCAGGTCTGACGGATATTGTATTGAGCATTTGTTAAACATAGAACCTTAGAGTTTATCACAAGCAATCATACGACAGCTATGGTTGAGTATCTCGGAGTGTAGACGCAACTGCAATTCAGAATTTCACAATAGGATAACTCACTATTAGGTTTCGTTACATATTCTGTTTTTTGGGATAAAAAGGATATTCCAAAATGTTTTTTAAATAGCGTTTCCTAGGCTATCTTAAACATGCAGGTATTGACCAAACTCGTCCAACATCCTGATTTTCATAACATTTGTTCCTCTCAATGCTTCGTTTTTCCAACCTCATTCACGAGATTGAACATGAAGTTGCCACACATCAGAGGTAACATATCTGATATAATACCCACTTATGTCTTTGCTTCTATTAGCCGCATGCCATTAAAATGTAAGACTGAGCGATTTTGACGACAATGCGAAGTAAATAGACGCTTGTCTCCTTCTATCTCGACGCCCATGATGTGCATACGCGTAGACAAATAATGAGCAGATAATCTCATGAGCTCGTACAAGTTGCCGTAGTTTACAAAGTAGCATGAAGTACCTGATATGCGTGAGGGACAGAAGACTGAAGAACTCCAGTGCGCTGTCCATTGCTTTGGGGAAGTCAGTGACTAGAAAGAGAGGAGGCAGCTCCCTAAAGAGAAAGCGGAACATGTAAACCGACATTTCTGTGGTGTCCTATTGCCCAGTGTTTGTCATCAGCCTAGTCGCCTAGTCAACGCATGCATTCGCAGTCCGTATCGTTCTAATACGTTCTAACAGTAAATTATTATCGTACTTAAAATTAAACTAATTTTGTTTGGACGATTGCTCCAAACGACACTCGTGGTTGAGACTTTCGAACTGCTGCACAGTGTGACATTCACTCCAGTCCAACGATATGTATGAATCTCGTTGGCCAGGTGATAGAAATGTGATCGATTGTTCAAATATCCCCGACGTGGAGCCACTCAAGATGCTATTCCATCATTGCAAGTAAAAAGCATGCACACGCTGACTCTCAACTCTGTAATTCTGGGCAAATGAGACCTGTCCGGTTTGGATTTGAACAGAACGGGAGCTGTATTCACTGTATTCAATTTAAAATTTGATTAGGTGATTCATCCTAGTCGCAGTTTACTGCCACCATTCAAAAATGGCTCGCGGGACCAAGATGTTACGCAAACAGGGGATGAGAGAGAACATACAAGAAACGGTAGGGTCAAAAATGTTCCGAGCTGATTAGAATTTATGGTGTAGACCATAGTAATACGAAGAGCAGCTGGTCAGTTTGATCCGATCCACTTTGGTTATTTGACCTGTTTGTCTTCAAACGAGACGGATTGCGCTCGCTGGATGCGGACTTACCGCCAGGATCACCAGCACCAAACAATATTCAGTCGGTCGAGTGTACGATGTCGAATACTGTTCGATCAGTCACATTACCTATAGAGTGTGCCAGTGCCCTACTCCCCTCTCTCGCCACCCATGCTTTTCTATTAGTGTGTGGTGTGTGCGTGTGTGTGTTACTCACTGAAAATAACTGATCAAATGAACGAGACTAGCGGGAGAACAATATTGTGACAAAGGCAAGCACAAACATCGATTTCACTGATTATTCGTTTCAGCGAAATTATGTTAGTTGCGAGACACACTCCAGCACACACACACACACGGGGGGGGAGGTGGTAGCGAGTTCAAGAGCGAGAAGAGGCAAAAAAACGCAACCAACGACTTACGTCCATCCGGGATATCTCCAGTATCACCTTTGTGAAAATAAATTAATGGACAAAAGAGATTAGAAATGTTTGTATTTGAAATTTCCCCCTCCCCGCCACCTTCTATCTAAAACAGAAGCTGGATTTATCAATGGACTGCATCGTATGCGGTCCGAGTCAACTTTTGAATAAAATTGAATAAATGAAAAACAGGCACATCGCTAGTGCGTGTGTGTACAAACCAAACGAGCGTTCTGTGCCACACACTCGGCTACACACTCACACGCGAATATCTGTGAAATTCTGATAATCAACCATGTACTCAATGAGAATGTGTGATATTTTCAAATGACCTCGTCCGACCATTATAGGACACACTGCCCACACGCCAGTTTTCCACTGTTGCAGTTATCCAGTACCACGGGATCTTCTTATTCGTTCCCAACAATTGAAATAAATTTTTCTTTGCGTTGAAATCAATGACATCTGGACATCTGTTCCGTCTTTGTTGAGGTTTGCGAACCGTAGATTTGTGCTCTCCCACCCCGGGATCTCTTCAAGACAGATATTTGAACAAATGCAAAAAGTGTGATTAGTAGTTAGTACTATTATAACTTGCCAGTATGCCTGACATGTATAACTTTGGTAGTACTAACAAAATCCAAACAAGTTTCAGTAGTGACACACAGAGCGATTGCAACCAGTTGATAAACTGAGACTCACCCGTTTTTTGGAACAATTCGTCTGCAATAGGAGAAAGAAGATCGTTTGTCAAATACAATTTCCTAAGTTTATATCATTTTGACTCTATCCCGGCAGACCGTAGCTTCACAACAAACAACAACCCGAAAACAGGAATTGTATAAATGTGTGTGTGTATGTGAATAATAAACACCAGTTGATATGAAACAAAATGCTACCAAATCATGCCATGCATTGTGCTCAGTATTATTTTGCGAGATAGACCAGTCAGTTCATATTTGTTTTCAAGACAGGGGGGGATAAATAGATAAATTTCCGATCAACTCCTGGCTCCAGTTTGTTCGGTACATGCCAATACACTAGATGTAAATACATAGATATTCTTCAGTGCAAAGATGACGGACGATAGAAAAACTGCGATTAACTCTGAACAAAAATCATTNTTGATCCAAAACGTGCTACCAGCTCATTTGAAAACAGAACAGGGACACTGTGAAAAGATCGAATTCTGTGTTTCCTAGGTACTTTTTTCATGTTCTGTCATAAATAGAATGTCTGAAGATTACGTGAAGTGAGGTCAAAATAGAGGTTTTCAAATGCTTGCGGACTAGACGGGAGTCATTTGGGGAGTGCAACATTTTCTATCCTTTTGAACAAAAAACAGGAAAGGGAGGACCATTAAACATGATTTGTTCATTATTTTTTCACTGTAGAAGTGGCTTGACCGAAAGGAGGACTCGCGCACATTGATTGTTATGCAGTTTTTAAAACGCATTGATCGACTCATACTTACCACGTAGCTCATGATCCAAATTCTGAAACAGGACAAACACTCCGAGCTCGGTCCACCCTAGATGAAGCTCTCACTCCCAACTTCTCTTCGTGGTGGTAGTTAGCGTAATCGATTGACTACTACTACTATGGACGAAATTTGCTTTCAATAGAATATAGACCAAGGGAAAAGCTGTTCCGAAAACCTGGGCAGAACAGACTATCCGATGGTTGCACGATCAAAACGGAGATTATCGAAACTGTCACGGTACAATTTGGATGGTGAACCAGCATTTGGTTGTGTGCGTGCGTGCGTGCAAATGAGTAAAAGATTTCAAAGTCATAAACCGAGCAGGAATCGAGTGGTTGCAAACGTTTCCCGGGGGGGAAAGTTAAATAATAGGCAATTTCTTACTTTCGAATTTATTGATTTCGTCTGGAAGAGGAGGAAGCAGGGATTGCGAATTAGGCACGCGTGATTTGAAACACTCACCAACCAAATAGATCCGAAATTAGGACAAGCTTAAAAACATTCAAATGGGTAACCAAGACAATGCGAAATATTTGTGCTGCTTGAAGCAAGAGAAAAAATGTGGAACAGGAATGATTAGCATTTTTGTATCATTTCTTAAATCTTTAATCTTCTATTATATTTGGTTTTCATTGAATACATAGTGATACAATTTTAAGAAGAAGGAAGAAGCGCCCAATCAAAGGGCGTCCATACAGTGCACTGAAATTGGGGACATCAGGCGGTGTTGTTATTGTTGGTGGTGGTGCTGGTATTCGGACTCGTCGCCCGGAGAGATAATTTGGTGACCTTGCCACTCGGACTCCACCGCCCATGAAGAGGGTATTTACTGAACATCTCCATGTGCACGGCGCGTAGCTTCATTCCACCGATTGATACCTTGTGAAACGATATAATTGAACAGGCTCCAAAATGGTCACCCAGCATTGACGACAAGCTTCAGTTTGGGAAGCAAATGGGCAAATGCTTTTTGGACACAGACGCGGGAGACAGAGAGAGAGAGAGAGAGAGAGAGAGAGAGAGACAGAGGGGGATGCAGGGAAGTCATGAATCCGAATGGGCGGTTTAGGTCCTTGGTCAGATTGTGATTAAGGCATCGCTAGTTACTATTGCTTACATTAAGTTTCATTACCCGGTCGAAACGCGTTTACGCGATGCGACCACACCGCAGCTTCGCGTAATTCTCGAAATTTTTCTTGAGATCTCGCCTCATCGGTAAAGATCCTGAACAAGGATCGGATAATCGGCTGGTCGTGCGACCAACGTACCTAGTAGTTACATAGCGACCACAGAAGAATGAGTGTATACAAATGGACTTTGTCGAACTTGATTTCGATTTGAAGAACATTTTCTTTTGTGAATGATAGAATGCTCTATTTGCTGCAGCTGAGAACGTTCTTTTAACGACTTCTAGCTCAATATCCCCTTCAGACGGCAGCATTCCCAACGGTTCCTACTTCCCTAGGTCTTTTTTTAATTGTTCTTGCATTGATTGCCTAGTTGAAATACCGTTCAAGGTGGGCGTTTAGTAAAGAAGAAAAAATCACTCCGTTAGAAATTTAGTTCCTTATCGATGAGCTTTTCGTGCATCTTTTCGTTTCTTTACTAACCAAAAGGCGTATTAGATCTATCTTCCTTTGAAGCGGGATCAAACTGTGGAAATTATCAAATTGTCCATTTTACGTTAATTTCCTATGTGCAGATAACTAGACGGACCTATCGTCACAGAAGTCTCCTGTGACGTCTAGATTCGTTGAACCATTATTCATCACTTGGTGAAGCTTACGTTTGAGCAGATTTTAAATCATCTAATCGGCGATTGGTGCCCATATTTGCATCTACCACGCGTACAAAATAATGCAATGTGATTTAGGCTTGGAGCGTTGATTGTTTTTGTGTTTACTCCCAAATATGCCCACAAATAGGGGTCCTTAAGTGGACTCCATTCCAAACTCATTCAGTGGCGGTGGTACCCCGGTGGTAACGTTACCAAATCATCACCTGGATGGTGTGTTCGAGTCCCACCACCACCACCACCACCGCCTAACTTTCCCCGTTGTATGTGTGTGTTGAATGACAGCCCTTTGATTGTCCGCAACCACCTTCCTGAAAATTGTATGCATTTTATGTTCAATAAAGGGAATTAAAATTTAAAGAAAAAAGAATTGCTGATATCATTAACATGAAAATGGATGCTATGTATGCATATTAATGGTAACTCTAATTTCAGATCATCAAATGAAATACCCATAATGACGTTGCTCTCCTGGATAGATTTACACAGACACTTTCACTATCTGATGCATTTGTAAACAATCGTTAGTCTCAAATGACAGCACCCCTACGGGGTCAGGCCCGTTAAAGTCTCTACAGGCGGAGCAGTACCTTGTATAGCATGCCTGAGACTTGCCCCCCTCCATTATTAGTTACATATATCCTTAGTCTATGTAATGATATGATTACCAATACTTGCACACGAGCTTTGTCACTGCACTGTGATTACAATGCATATATATGTACATCAAGACGAGACTGCACCTTGACGTGGTGTGATGGCTTGCGTGCTTCCATGACCCTGCGAGCTATACAGAACGGCTTCTCACAGCCGTAGATACAATCATGCCTGAAAGGTCAAGGGTAGAGGCCAGACGAGGATCAGTCTCACAAAGCCAGCTGCTTGGGCACCTCCTGGCTTCCTTCGTCTATCCGCACACGCCACTGAATAGGCCCCTCCAGCAAATAAACACGATGAGGGCAGTTTACCGGCCAAAAAAACCCCGTTAGATGGACAGAGGAGCTGGGTACCGGGGGCTTCCTATCGACAGTGGGAGAAATCTCCGCACTTCATTGGACAGCTACTGTTCACCCAAGCTGGGCAGCCCGCAGTCAATAAGGTGCTGTCCCGTCCACGTTCCGCTGGCTTCATTGGTTGCATGAGACTAAGGGCCAATCCAGAAAAGCGGACCGAAAATCAACGCACCGACGGACAACACAGTTAATCGAAATTCAAAGGCCCTGCGTGACAGCTCTCCAGTAGCTCCCACACGGGTTCTCCGTTCACGCTCCCGCGTTGGATTTATGCCCCACTGCCTTGCGGGTCAGTCTTTTGAGTCGAAGGCTCCGGTTAGAGTTCCCAAAGAAAAACCTCTTTTCCACATATATATATATACACGCATGCTGATTTTCATAATTTCAATCAGTGGATGGTATAAACTGCCTATTCACTCATGTTGTCCGAATGCACTTGAAATTCCATGGATACAAGAAAGAGAGAGCCGACGAAACAACAGCCTCGTCCAGTACTAGATCCCATATTGATTTAAAGAGGTAAAATGATAATGGATGATGGAAGCGCGAAATATCATTGGTTCGTTCTACGTCCAAGATGGTTGTTCTTCATGGTCTGTGAGGCACCAATTTCTGTCGTCATTCGTCTAAAAAAGTGTTTTTGCAGTTTATTCAAGCCACCCATAAGATTGTTTTACAAGCGAAGTACGCAGTGGATTCGGATGAAATAACGCCATAAATTCTCAATTTGGTGGACCGGGAAACCGAGCGACACCAATTGGTATCCCACCTGTGGAAATAAACAAATTATAAAGTGCTTTCGGCAAGTATCTCGATCGTGAACCACAAATGGCTTCTCAAGTTTCATCTTCGAGCTTTACCAGAAAACTCGTCACCTGCGCGCGCACACACACACACACGCTCATTAAACTGATATCGAAGTGATCAGCCATACTCGGTGTTGTGCCTGTGATCAGTCAATCAATCAACCAATCCACGTGATTAGGCAGCTTGAATGAGCCCTAGAACTTGCGTCCATGGGAAGCTGGGAGGAATGAACTATGCACCTGTTGTGTTGTTCTTGTTTGTGTTCTAAATGATCCAGAGTTTAGAAACATCACATTGATGAATGAGAAACGGTTATCCACAGTTTACACGGATCTGTGACTCGATCAATGGTGCACGCAAACAAGACTGAAAAATGTATAGAGGGGCGACGTAAAGCACGCGGCAACTCAGTGAAACTTGCTTCTGATAATACTTTCATCAGTGATCTCTACAACGGACAGAGAGTTGAGTTGACAGAAATCACTCAATCGTTTACAATAAAATTCAAATAGCACAGTTGTGTACAAGTGTTCGGGGAATTGATCACATTAGTCCCAAACATGACATGTGCAGTTCGTTTGTTACTCCAAAACCACGCTATACACACACACTACTCGCTCAGAGAGTGCTCTCAGATTCATAACCCTTAAGGATAGAAACCTGTTTCTGTTATTTGCACTGCCTAATGGATTCGGTTGCATGTTACTCATCCAGTCAGAAAGCGATTAGCTTGAGCCACATCACATACGTTCATAGTCATCCGGTTTGCTTTGTGTGAATAAAAGGGTCGAGAAGCGTCATAGTTTTTCGGATCCGTCCCATTTTTCCTACCTAGAAATGAGTTTGAATTAAATAATTTCCGGGATCGTATAAATTCATTCTAGAGACATGGTGATATTTAAGATAAGGAAACATGTTTTCCATATAAACATACTTTTATATTTTCAAAATAAGTAGTATGTGAATGACAGGACAAAATTTCCCTGTCCAGTCATTCACATACTACTTATTGTAAAAATATTATACAAAGACCATCAGGCCACGTTTGTTGCGGTTCGTAGAATCTAACCTACTTACAAAACATCGAATCATAGCATTGGTTCTCCAGTGGACTGGCTTTGAAAGAGCTGTCTATCCAATGGTCACCTGGTGTTGCAAACAAGGGTGTTGTGACGAATATTTATACAAGAAACATCTTTTCCCTTTGATGCATTTAAATAAATTAGGTAACATAATATTTACTCTCAATCAGCTGTCTACGCACCCTAAAAAGTTTGAATATTATAAATAGACTACCATATAAGGAAATTTAAATAAGTACATGGGTTCAGACGGAAAGAACCGGGTTGTTTAGTCATTACCGAAACTATGAGGGTATGGGGAATGAT